CAGCTGCCTGCAGGAGTTCAGGTGGGAAGTGAGAGTGGAGAGAGGGGTTGGGAGATGGGCCTCAGGTCAGACAGCTGCCTGCAGGAGTTTAGGTGGGTGGGTAATGCAAAACACCAGCCTTGGATGGTTTTCATGGCTTCTCCAAGTGGAATGCTGAGCTGTCAGGCTTCTTTCTGGTCTGATGTCCTGAATGGCTCTGAAGAAAGAAATCTCATCAATAACAAAACGTCGGAGTGCATCTTGGAGGCTGATCTGAGAATGCATTGGAAGGAGGCAGAGACCCTGACTCAGTGGATGGGAGGGAACTCAGGAGGATTGGACACACTTCTGATCGCTAAGAGAGAATTTCTAAAGGCTCCCTTTTGGCAAAGAGTGGATAATCTCCGACAGAAGATGTGCAGTGGGCTGATAAAGATGTGGAAAAGTTCTCGAACTTCATTCTTGATTTCTTTGACCTTCAGGACAAAAAGATGCATATTAAAATTTTTCTGGCAAATTAACACATTTCTTTAAAAAGGAGCATATCTTCATTTGGGGGTAGTATGAGGAGCTACAAAGTATATATCCTCTGACCCAATTCCAACTTTATCTTTACCAAATAAGCAGGTACTGTCTGTGGCCTTCAGGAGAGAAACTGGGTCACTGGGAATCGGGGTGGGAAGGAGACTTTTCACTCCACTGAATCAGGTAAATGTTACCTTTTTGGGAAACAAGTACATTAATAAAAAAAAAAAGCATCATTAATTTCTAAGCAGTATGTGCAGATGGACTGCTCTATGGCCATTTTTATAAAATCATGTTTTTCAGGGATATGGAAAATGCTTTTGATATAATGTGAGTTTTGAAAATATACTATGAGACTGAACATATGCTGTGATCCTGATTTTCTTTTCTTTTTATTTTTTTGTGATCCTGATTTTCTATGAAAATTTTATTTACATGCATTAAAAACACTGCAAGTGAATTTACCAGCATCTTAACATTTTTTAAATTACCATGTAGTGGTAGTCAAATTTTGGTTGATTTTAATTTTTTTCTTTGTGCCTGTTTTCTATCTTCCAAATTTTCCATTATCTGCATATTTTATTTTATGATAAAGTATTTCTGAAGGCAAGCAGACACAGATGCTTCCATTCCAGATAGCTATCTGAGCCTATTTTCTTCCAAAATTTTATTAAAATGAAATAGAAGATAGAAAAATGCAAATAAAAGCCTAGTTGTGCTAGAAAAAAAGATGGGGGCTACCAGTGAGAGCTGACTCGAGGTCAGTAAGCAGATGGGTCTTGTTTCCAGAAACCTTAAGCTAAAACCCACCTGGGGCAGGTGTTACAGGAATGAGTCACTCTTCCCGCCAGAAACCCGGCCCAGCTCCAATTCAGTAAAGAAATACAAAGAGTAGAACTGGGTCATGGGATACCCAGATGGAATAAGAGTGTTATTACAAAAAATAAAGCTATTCATGTGTCAGAAATGTTTTTTGTAATTTAAGTCTGGGCAAGAGGAAAAAAAAAACCCGAAAGACATAAATTATTGATTTGACAGCATAAAAAATACAAAGACACTGCAAGTGAATTCATCAGCATCTTAAGGTTTTTTATTATCATGTAGTGGTAGTGGAATTTTGGTTGATTTTAATTTTTTCCTTTGTGCTTGTTTTATATCTTTCAAATTTTCCATTATGTGCATATTTTTGTTTTATAATAAAATATTTTAAGAAAATATAAGCAAAGTAAAATGATGAGCAGCGGGCTAGGAGAAGATACCTTAGCATAAAGAAGCAACCAGTGGTAATTAGCCTCAATGTGCAGAATTTCTATAGACAATGTGAATAAGACTGTGGGACAAATGGGTAAGAAATGCACCAGCAATTCAGACAAATCAGTACAAATAACTGAAAACATGAAAAGATGCTAAAATTTTCTGGCATTCAGGGAAAAGCAAATTGAAAAGGAATATCCTTTTTCTCATCTATTGATATACACATGTTTAAAAAGTTAGATAAGAACCTTGGACTTGTGAGGGGGGAGGTCAAGCCATTCTCACACGTTGAAGGG